GGATAACAACCAAAAAGGATATTTTCATTGTACAGATGAGAAAACTGAGGCTTAGAAGGTATGTCAGGTTTGGAAGCTCTTTCCTAGGTGGTGGGAGCCCCCATCCCTTGGGCCTTGATAGGAGGTGAGACCCCAGCTCCCATTAGGCCTAAAGTGGGCGTATATCCCTACCCCAGCTCTTTGGCAGGAAGTATGTGGCCCAGATTTGGCCAATCAGATGCTCCTGCCAGGAATTTTGTCTCATGCGGAAGTGCTCAAAGACATGGCAACAGATAGAGCAGGCTCTAGGAGGCTGCAGCAGACATCAGAGTCTAGCAGTGAAAATGGCAGCAAGTGTCCAAAGCTGGGCTCTCAAATGCAGGGTCCTGACCTGATTGTTTCTCTGGCATGATCTCTGCTCTGTTCTTGGCTGTAAGCTTTTCTTGGCTTCTGCTTTTTTCTTCAACTTGTTTACAAGCCTTCACATTGATACTGTGAGCAACCCAAATCCATCCAATAAAATCTATTTCTGTTTAAGTTAACTGGAGTCAGATTTTCCCATTTATAACCATGCACCCTGGATGGGTCATAGGGATTGAGAACTTTGCCTATAGCTGTTGCCAAAGATGTACTCAATAATCAGATACATATGATTTTTATGAATAGGGCTTGGTTAACGGGCTCATGGACCAAATAGTTGTAGTAACAGGGATGGAGGAGAGGGAGGGGCTCAAAAATATCACTTTCCCTCACCAAGGCTGATCTGTCAACTGCTGATAGGGACCAATGCTGAGTCCCTAATATAATTTGGGATGAGTCTCATATTTGGGGTGGGGGTAGACCAGTCAAACACCTGGTGTAAGTTTGATTATATTGATCTCTTTCCATTGTGGGAGTGCGGGAGAGAGAAAGTAACTTATCTTCACTAGAGTAGGTAATTATTCTAGATATAGATTTGTCTTTTCTGCCAGCTATGTTTTTGCCAGCAATGCCATCTATAAACATCTTTATTTACCATCACAGTGTCCCATTTAATATTGCTTCCACGAAAGAAGTGAGAGAACAGAAAGATGTCTCTGGATTTCACTGGTCTCTCCGTGAATCCCATCACCTACAAGAACATGCCCTTACAGAATGGTATCCGAACCTATTGAAGACTCAGGTATGGTACCAGCTAGGAGACACCACTCTGAGTAGTTGGAGTGCTCTGCTATAGAATGAGATAATGCTCTAACCAGTAGCCAATATATGATGTTGCTTCTCTCAGGCAGACAACATGAGTCCAGAAACCATGGGCTGGAATGGTACTGTCTCTTCTCATTATTACATGTAAAGACCCAATCACAAAGTGTCTGTATTTGTTTCTCATACTGCTTGGCTCTCTGCTGGTGTCAAAAGCATGAAACCCAGAGAAATATTGCTTCCACCTGAAGACTCAATAATGGTTCCCCTAGAGGGGAAGCTGAGATAGCCACTGGGCTAACATGGGCTCTTCATGATATCAAGTCATCAAGGGGTTCCTGCATATCTGGAGTGATTGGTCCTGATTTTCAAAGAGAAACAAGGGTTTTCACTACAAATGAAATAAATAGAGAGGAGTGGGTCTAAAGCCAAGTGTAAACTTCAGGGTATCCCTTTGTGCTGCTCTGTCCAGTGGTAAAAGTTAAGATGTACCAGCCCAATAAAGGCAGGCATCCCAATGGTTCAGATCCCATATACAGAATGATATATATAGAATGATAGTTTATGTCGCCCCATCAGGTAAAGTAGCTTGATTAGCTGAGATGCTGGCTGAAGACTAAAAAAAAAAAAGAACATGAGATGGGAGTGGAAGAAAGTTATACATACCAACTATGGGCTTGAGACCAGATGCAGAAATAAGGTCTGTACTAGCTACTCCCTTTTCTTCCTGGCTTTGCAATGTATATAGTAACGAATTTCCTTTGCACATCCTTTCCTTTTTCTCTAATATTTCATATGACTATGTTAGAAGTGGTGAACTTTATAAGTCAGACCTTGAGTTACAGGATATGAAGGTGGTATTGTAACCAAGCTAGAAGAGGAATGAACACCTTTCTGGAGCCAGGAGTTCCTCTAGGGCCTTTCTGATTTCTCAGACAGTTGCCCACTCCTCCAGTCCTTTCAGCATATTCATAAGCACCTATTTCCCTGTATTCAGTCCATTTTGATTGAAACTGCACCAATAACTTTCTGTTATCTGTACTTAAGCCCTGACCAAAAAGCAAAACAGACAACACTGCAAAGTATAAAGAAGTATAAGAAATGTTTATTTTGGCATTGAATCAAAACAGTTATGGACTAGCACTCTATATTATTTGTTCTGATTTCTTAAAAGAGCTTCTTCCTTTTTATCCAAGCTATAAAAACTGCTGTGGTCTACGATGTAGCTCACTTTGACATGGCTTTGTCTTTTATGAGTCTCACAGATGTCTTGATCAAAGAAGAATTGCTGTTTTCTGCCAACACTTAACATTTTTAAAGTCAAAGAAATAACCTTTCCCAAAGTGCAGCTAGCTCCTTAGGGACAGGAACCACTCCTACCTGTTTCACTTGTAACAGCACTTAACACAGTTGACTCCACACAGTAATATAAATTGAATCGTTAATACATGCTTCCCCCCCGCCACGAGTGATAAGCATGACCACTTTGAGGTCCATGCAGATCCATTCCTGTTATAAAAACATGTCATTAGAATCTAAGCTCTTTCCTCCACACTTGGGACAGCTGAAAACTTAAGCTAGTGCAAGAGAATGTAAGTGAGACTTGATATATAGACTACACAGAAAAGTGAGAAGCCTGAAGGATTCAGGAATCGGGGGGTCTTGTTACCATATGTGCCAAAAGTCCTACTGGAGTAAGGAAGAGCCTTTTGTTATTCTGTTCAGTTGACAGTACTTCCAATCAAACAATTCTCAACCTCAAGGAAGTTTGATTTGAATTGTAGATTTTTTTTCTTAATTACCACATTAATATACACTAATCATAGAGAATTTAGAAAGCACGGGAAAAATGTAAAGAAACAGAAATAAAGACCCTCCACCTCATCACTCAGGAGAAACGACTACTTACATTTGAGCGTATTACTTTTGTCTTTTTTAGTGAGCATAGCCGAGAGATTAGAGAAAGTGAGAGGCGGAGCAGAAATGCATACCTCTTTTGTAACTCGTTAGTGTTCCTGGCGTCGGGGTACCCACCCGCCTCTGAGGCAAGATCCCCCTCTTCACCAGGACACCTCCGCCAGCTACCCCAAACCTCTGACTTGGCCGTTAAAACAAAGAGATGTTTTGTCTTGACTCTGAGGGAAGGAGTTCCTCTTCGTTGTGTGACAGATTGATATTAAGAAAAACCAGTTAGGGAAGCCCAGCATGTTCTTCCCACAAGCTTACAGTGCATTCCATCTCACATCTTTCCAGCTGTCTTCTAAGAGCCAGGATCTGGGTGGAAGGAGGGCGAAAGAGGGCCATGAGAAGAATCAGTTAGATCTGGGGAGATACAGTGTGTCTGCAGAAAGCTGACTGTCAGTGTGACTGGCAGTGGGCAGGGAGTGTAGCTTTGGATGTCTGTTGAGCAGGTGTATTTTGAAGATAACTCCTATGGGCTCTCGCTAGTGAATGTCCAGGAAAAAGCAAAGACTGGAGGAGGAGACATCAAGCAGGAGACTGCCTACTGCGTTAAGAAAAACATTCATCATTTCCTGTTCCTGCTCTCTGTGTATCTGAAAGCTCGTTTCTGACAACAGCCTTAAAAAAAAAAAAAAAGACTTTCATTTGTTCACTTCCTGAAATCCTGAAATGGACCACACAGCCCCAGGCAAAGCATGCACTACAATGAAAGTCGATTTTTCTATCTGCACATGAATTGCAGGGTTGGGTCTTGTTCTATGTTATATCCCCTGAAGCCACTAGGATAGATTCTCACAGTTGACTCCAGTGCTGAGCAGATGATTAACTTCCAGATTATTTGGGTTCGAATTTATGTAATTCAGTGATTTGTATTGGTTAATGCTTTCTTTTCATACTCCCCTAGAAAGAAATTTATTGATTCTATTTCCAAAATATCTCTTGAATCTGTTCACTTCTTCCTGTCTTCATAGCACCACTCCCTATATTCTCTCCCCTTAATCGTAATAATTGTTTGCTACCTGGTCTGCACTTTCTGGCCCTACTCTGTTGTCCACCAAACAGAGGAAACTTTTAAAACATAAATCCCATCATGCTTTTTTCTGGCTTAAAATCCTCCAATGCTTCCCATGTGGGATCTGTCCTTGCCCTCCCTCCCCTTCATCTGGTCTCACTTTCCTCCTAATTCACTGTGTTCCAGCTTCACTAGTCTTTCTTCTGTTTCTTTGAGGCACCAAGCTCTTTCCTATCACAGAGCCTTTCCATGTGCTATTCTTCTGTATGAAATGGTGTCTTCCCTTCTCACTCATCCTTTGAATTTCAACTTAAGTATTGTCGCCCATCCACACCCAACCTAATTTAGGTTCTCCCTATTAGGTATAGCATCATGTACGTTTCCTTCACAGTTCTAATTAAAATTTGTGAATATGGGAGGGAGGATATAGCTCAAGTGGTAGAGCACATGCTTAGTATGCACCAGGTCCTGGGTTCAATCCCTAGTACCTCCTCTAAAAATAGATAAATAAACTAAATACCTCCCTCTTCCCCTCAAAATTTGTGAATATATATTTACTTGTAAGATTGTTCAGATCCAGGTCCCTCAAGAGATGGTAGATTCTAACAAGACAGAGAGTATGTCAGTTTTGCTTCTGTTGTATCCTCTAGTGCCTGGCATGGTACCTAACACATAGTAGATGCTCAGCACTTCTTGAATGAGTGATTTTGCATCGTCTGGGTTTATTTATCTTTTTTTTTTTTTAGGGAGGCGGTAATTAGGTTTACTTATTTATTTTAAAGGAAGTACTGGGGATTGAACCCAGGACCTTGTGCATGCTAAGCATGTACTTTAGCACTTGAGCTATATCCTCCCTTGCATCGTCTGGGTTTGAAGAGTTTAAAATAAGAGTTACCGAAAAGGTCATTTCCTTTGTCTCTTTTCTGCCAATGCAGGGCACACAAGAAACACCTAACAAATATGTTTTCATTGATTGACTGATTAACTAACTTTAGATTGACATTTTGGTAGGGAAGAGAGGTATCACACCTGGAGACAGGTTAGGATCAAAGACACAGATATGATTACAGCCAATCCTTTTCTCACTGTGGTGAAAGCGAAAACTGTTAGAGTGAAGATTAGGTGCAAACATTTATAATTACTTTAATGATAGGGCCTCCTAGAAAAAGGGAGAAGTCAAGATGCACTAGAGCTGAATATTACGGGGCATGGTTGTGTTGTCTGTAGTGAGAGGCTGTGATTGCCAGAAGGGGCTGAGGACTGAAATCCAACATCTTGCTGGATTCCATAGGCTTGGAAAGAGAAGAAAAGTACAAACTAAATGGGAAGTGCGTGGGGAAAGCTCTTTCTCATAGGACAGAAGATGATCATTCAGGCTTTGAGCAGCAGATCCAGGGGGCAGCCCAATCTACCAGTTATCAATGATAAGCATCCTGCTGTGAATAAATTTTTGTAGAAAATTAATTTAAATATATATCCTAGGAGGCCATAGTTTTGGCTTGAGAAGCTAAACTGCACTCACCCTATGCTTCTTGTTTATATTTCTGGGCGTGTCTGCATTGGCAGAGGTTTTATTTGTACCAAAGTGCACCATAACAGCCACCAGACCAGGGAAGGAGAAAGGCAAGGCTCACAAGTTTGGCTCAAGGACTCTGGTTCAAGGTCAATGTCAGTGAGAGGGATGAGTAAGTCCCAAACTGCATCTGTCACTGTGATTGTCCTCCAGCCCCACTGGGCTTAGGGAGCAGGACCTGCAGAAAAGTGGACAAAAGCAAAGTGTATAGTAGAGCAGTCTACAAACTGTGAGGGGAGGTACAGTTAGGGGTCAGGTTACAATGTGGGACATGTGAGGACTCAGAATAGACACAGCAGACCAACCTTTGGCTGGATCACAGGGGGCTCAGGACAGAACACCAGGCTACAGTGGCATCAAGGAGACACTGGCACCTTCAGTGGGCATTGTCCTTCCGGTGCTTCTCTGCAGGTTTGGAAGTATTTGCAGAAGCATATTGACCTTGGTGGCAGCATGAGAGACATTACTGGAACAAATCAAAATGGAAGAGGAGGGAATGTTTGGAAACAGAGTATAAGATCATGACCACCCAGGGGCACCCCTGGGCACTTTCAGAGCTGCTTGAAAGGAATTTGTTGACAGTTGAATTGTGTCCCCTAGAAAACTGCATTGGAGTCCTGCCCCTAGTACTCAGAATGTGACCTTATCGGAAATAGGGTCACTGCAGGTGTAATCAAGTTAAGATATGGTCCTTTGGGTGGACTCTAATCCGATATGTCTGGTGTCCTTAGAAGAAAGGGAAAACGCTAGGTGAAGACACAGACTCACCAGGAGAACTCCAAGGGATGATGGAAGCAGAGAGCGGAGGGATGCAGCTGCAAGCCCAGGGATGCCAATGATTGACAGCTGCCGCCAGAGGCGAGGAAGAGACCAGGAAGGATTCTCCCCTACAGGTTTCAGAGGGAGCATGGCCCTCCCAACACCCTGATTTTGGACTTCTAGCCCCCAGAACTGAGACCATACATTTCTGTTGTTTTAAGCCACTCAGGAGTGGTACTCTGTTAAAGCAGCCCTGGGAAATTTATATAGAACTTGAGGAAACGACTTTTTCAGAGTAGTAAATAAAGACAGTGCCAAAGAGACATTGTTTCATTGCTGTTATTTTGACCCTAGTTTTCACCATAAATTTGTGAGGCCAGAGAAATACAATTTATACTTGAGAATCACATAAATAACATGCTAAACAGCTAAGTTTTTATTTGCTGACTTGAGTTTAGTCAGTTAATGTGCCACTGTCTGGTACATTTCATGCAATTCTAAGACATGCCTGCATCTAATTAAATGAAATAATGTATTAAAGCTCTTTTAAAAGCACCTGGCACCTAGAAAGCCTTCATAAATGGTAGACAGGGTCATTATCATCATCATCTGATTATCCTGATTTTAGAGCTTTGAACTGTTCATGTCTCTTCTGCATCTGAGAGCTGCTGAAAACTGCTGAGAAAACCTCACACCTAGGCAGTCTGGTGCCACTAAAAATTAAACATCACCAGATTCACCAGCGTCCTCTGCCCTGCCTTGGTTTCCCTAGTTAGTGCTCTCTCCCATTCTCTGCAACTTGTATTTCAAATCATGCTTCCTCGGACCTCTACCACCCTCCATTTCTCCTTAACTCTCACCACCAAACCTATCAACCCACATGTATCTACAGCTATCTTCAACTTCCCCCTGTTACTTGGCCCCAACAGGTACCCTGGCTTCTTTCTGGTCCAGATAATTGTCATTCTTCCCTCTTCCTCATTCACACTTTCAATGCATAACCAAGTGTTGTTAATTCTACCTCCTAGATATCTTGCCAATCCACACACTTTGGTTTATCTCCATGGCCACCAGCTTGGCTCATATAAGCTGATTGTGTCATTCCTGCTTAAATCCTCTCAATGACTTCCTACTTCTCTACAGACCAAGAAGGTCCTTCACATGTTTACAAGAACTCCTGGTGCCCCAGCCCCTCTTAATCCAAGCTCTTTGGGTACTCTTACCTCCCCTCCATCTGTACTTCTTGCACGCTGCACTCTAGATTAGAGAATAACTCAAAACACCTCCCTTCCTGGTTAAAATAACTAACACTTATTTGCTAACTATGTGCTGGGCACACAGCAACTCGTTCATCAGGACAACTAATAGCATAGTACTGTTACTATTCCTGTTTAAAGATAAAGAAATAGAGTCACAGAAGTTAAGTGACATGCCCGGTTACAAGGAAAGTAAGTGTTAAGGTAGGATTTGAACTGGGAATATTGGCAGGGCAGTCCACACCACTGTGCCATTTTCTGACCTTCAGACTCTTCCCTCAGCCCCAGCAGTCCTCCTCACCCTCTTAATTCGGCTGATTCCTACAACTTCAGGGTAAATAGCCCTCTCTCAGGGCCAGACCTTGCTCTGCATCCCCGTGTCTTCTGTCCTCCCCTTCCTGGTATTATTTAACATCTATCTCATCTGCTGGACTGCAAGCTCTCCTGGGACGGGGAACACATCTGCTTTGTTCACAGCCGCACCCTCACTGCTTAGCATTTGCTTGATGTATAGCAGGTGCTCATTAAGTATTTCTTGATTGAATAAAAGAATGGATAATTACTAATCACGGTGAAGAGCTTCTATATATACACAACACATAACACAGTACCTGGCACGTAGCATGGACTTGATAAATATTTATTTGATACTGTGTTCACAAAATGGCAAGGAGTCTGGTTTGACTAGTGTCAAGGGTGTGAGGAGAAGGTTTTGCAAATGGTTCAAGTCTGTTTAGGGAGCTGAAGGAGGAGAGAATTGCATGACGGAAGGAGTTATCAGCAGTATGTAATCTTGCAAAGGCAAATACCAGCATTTCAATATCCCTCCTTCCCAGCCCAAGATGGTTTCTGATTTTTCTTTTAACCACATCATCCAATGTCCTTACAGCTGACTTCAGCAAAGTGTAATTTGGTGTGCTCAGGGGACCTTGGCAGGATCAGAAGTGTGCACTAATGACCCAGGTGGGAACAAAGCTCCACTGTGGACATGTTCTGTGTAATACAAACAACTCCCTCCTCCCCTAGAAAAAGGTCTGACAATCTCAAATTCTAATCTCTACGAGCACAATTGAAGACTTCCTATTCCTATCTCCTTTGGAAAAAGTAAATAATTTATTAACCTCAAAAGGCTTCCTGGAACACTGGGTTAATCCCTTTAAAGGGATACATCTGGACACCCTAACTTCATTACAATTCTAGACTTGAATGCTACCAGGTACATTTTTTCTTCCCCAAACTGAGTGGTGCCAGGGAGTCTAGAGACAAGCAGTCGGCAAGCCAGGTTCAAATCATTGTCTCTTTGAGGCTGTGTTTTGGCAGCCACTGCTACAGCAGGCTCAGCCTTCAAGGAGCAGTAAACTTGTCACCCTTGCATGACCCTCGATGGGAAAACTGGAACAAGAAGGGGATGACTTCCAGAGTAAACAGCTGATCCACCACCTGTACAAACACGCACCTAACTGGCTTGACATGAGCGTCCTTGGGGAAGGGCTTTGGTAAATCAGAGGAATCGCCAACATGTGAAATCAAGCCTCTGTGCTCTGCACATGCCAGCACCACCGCAGGTCACGCTGTCAGAAGCCACCCGCTACAGAGCGGCTTTCTATTCCAAGTCATCTTGTTAAATCAAATCCCCAACTGCAGGGTGGTGACTGTACAGGACTCTCGTCATGGGATCAGCGTCTCTGGCCCTATTTTCACCGCAGGAGACATCTCTTCTTTTACAGCATTCGGGTCTGTGGCAAGCTCTTAATTATATTTGCCGCCAAGAACCAGTTAATGAAGGGATATTTCTTGGCCTTCGGCAGAAATCTCAGACTCAGCAACCAAGAAACTGAAAGCCCTAACCTCAAGGCAGTCTCCCCACGGCCCCCTCCTGATGCATATTTCAGAGGTTTCCAGGTTTTAAAGCATGGATTACCTTTGCAAATGAAAAATTGAACAAGTAAATGCGTTCAGTGGCGTGTTGTTACAGTTCCAATGATTTTGAAAAGGCTGCTTGGTTTAACCCGAGGCAGAGTTTCAAATGAACAAAGAAATGAATATCCATTGTTTTTTTCATTATTTTCTGTTTATTCTACCAGGATTTAAAATATTGTATATATTGATCTCACCTAAGGTTCCTTGCTTATCAATATATATGCATACATCAACCAACTGAAAATTGCATATTGATGAAATATTTACTAGCTTCAGGGGCATTCAATATCCAGCCACCAAAAAAATAGGTTGTTTATTTGTTTATCTAAATAGGGTTTTGCATGGTAGTGAAATTTTGAACTCCATTCAAAAGCTAGAGTCTTATTCTCTCAAATATTTTGAACGTTTCATTCATAAGAAAAATGATTAAAATAAAGTAAAAGAAATCAGCATCATCTTTACTACTAGTTAGCATTTAGTCACTGCTGGTCAGGCATGTGACATTTTACCAGATCATCTAAATAAATTCGTTGAACCTACTATGTACCAAGTAACTCCCCAAATGAAAAGATTACAAACACACAATCTTTTCCCTCAAATAGTTCAAATCTAGAAGGAGAAACAGATAAGTACAACAATGTGGTAAATATTATGGGAGTACAATACATGTTACCAGGACTAAATGTACAGATGTATAAATGAAGGAATTAACAAAGAAATGAGGGAGAAGGTATAGCTCAAGTGGTAGAGTGCATGCTTAGCATGCACAAGGATCTGGGTTCAATCCCCAGGGCCTTCTTTAAAAATAAATAAACCTAATTACCTCCCCCACCAAAAAAAAAAAAAAAAAAAGAAAGAAAGAAAAAGGAATGAATTGGCATTGATATTTAGGGACTATAATAAATTCACCACGGAAGTAGGCAATAAAAATATAATATTTAGCAAAAATGGAGCATGGAATATTTTTAAATGAAGAAAGTTTCAAGAGGATTGAAAAGAGTAAAGACTTTAGCTGTAGGGTTACAAAAGAAATGAGAAGTCCTACATTCAATTTACTTATGTGTTGAAAAAATCAGACTTAAACATGAAATACATAATAGTAAAGAACTAAGCTGCAAAATACAGAAAAAGAAAGGGAGGAATCAGATCGTTAAATAATGGTATGATTATTCAAACTCTAATTTTGGATTTATGAATGTCTCTATCCAATCATCATGACATATCTATGTTAATTTCTCCATTGTTACTACACATTGTTAACCACAGTATAAGTCACTTCAAGTGAAGGTGCTAGAAAGTGGTATAAGGTAAAATCGGGCCAGTTCTCCCGATTTGGGCCTTTGACATGCAACATAATACCCATTTTCACTACACAGGGAACAAACCCTCAACTGTCACTACCTCAGAAGAAAGATAAAAATTTTATGTATCAAACAGAACTTTTCAAGGACTTCTATGGGCTCAAACTTACCCTCAGAAGAAAGAAAGAAAATGAAGGTAAGTGTGTGCCAAATTATATGGTAAGTTTTGGTCTTAAGAGGCAGTATGTTGTAATAGATTTGATGCTGAGGAGGTACATTCCAACTTTATTATTATTTTGCTATATGACCTTGATTTTTATTGCCTCATCAACAAAACCGGAATAATAACACACACCCTAACCTGTCTGCTGAGAACGCTTGCTTCATCTATAAAGTGACGTGTGAAATGTTTGAAAGCACTGTGAAAATACAACAATCCCATGTTAAATTTGCTGCACATTAGGATATAAGTGGAATTTTTCATCTATAAAGGGCAAAATACCTTTATTATAGGGAAATGAAAGTGTGTTGTAATATATGAAACCTTACCTCACAATCTATGCAATAATAGGAATGAAATAATAGAAATATCACAATTTCTCTCTTTCAGGCACAACTATTTCTAGTTCCAGACCACAGTTTGTTTCTTCTTTCTTTCCTCGTTCTTCCTTGCTAACCTTTCATCATATCGTCATAAAAATTTCTAAGGCTATTTCTTGGCTTTTCTTTTAAAATATTATTTTGATTATCAAACTTGAATTGAAAACCTGAAGGAAAAAGATCAGAAACCTGTTCTTTCCTCTAATAAAGTCTAGCCTAGGTTCTGCCAAGAACATCTACAAGTTGTTAAAAATAGCACATTTTTTTATTTGGACTCAATTGACTTGTACTTCTGTGGACCTGTCGAAATGTTAAATAATAAATTGTTATCTCTGAATAGCTTCTTCCTTGTCCAAGATGCAGTCAAAAAACGTGCTTTAGATGAGTCATTCCGCCGGAATAATTTCCCTTTGGATTACTAGAGTCATTGGGGGGAAAAAAATAAAACCATGTGAGTAATTTTCCATGTATCTTGGGTTCAATATCTAAAATGTTTCATAGGCCTTCTGCATCACAAGGCAGTTTATTTAAAAATACAGGCACATCCTCTTCTCTGCTCCTGCGTGTACCTTCCTCTTTAGCAGCTGAAGGCAGAAGCATCAACGGTGAGCAGTGTCAGCCAATACCCCTTGTGCTTGTGTGTCATCGTTCTGAGCTAGGAATGAGCAAGTCTTAAAAAGCCAGGCAGAGAGCCCGTCCTCCTCCTCCTCCCCATCATCACCCTGACCTTTAAACAACAACAATAACAAAAGTTATTAACAACAATGAAAACAACACGAGCACCGTGCAAAGGTACAACTCCTGTGGCTATACAGAACGTCAGCCGAATAGCCACCCACGCTTTTGCTGCTGTTAGTGGGGAAAAAAGGAAATGTGGTTTTGGCTCACAGAAAGGGGAGGAAGAGGTGGAGGCGAAGGAGAGGAGGAGGCAGAACCCTGTCTTTAACAGGAGAGTTCCCACTGAGAAAATCATTTCTCACCCTCAGTGAGGAGCAGGTAGGCCACAGAAACAGACAGGAGAGCGTGTGGTTCGTGACCCCTGCCAGAAAATTCAAAGATTAGAACACTCGTCAGGAGAGGCAGCACCCTGCATGAAAATCTCAGGCTTTGATTTTGCAGTTAAAGGCGACATTTCAGAAAAATATATTGCCAACATCCCTACCATTAGCCTGTCTTGCTATTCTATATGGCACGGATGCTGTGCTAGGGAAATTTGATCAATATATTAGATTCCTGGCAGAAAGATGCTATCAGACAACGCATGTATGCCTTGACATAGCTCAATTTCCATCTATCCAAGAAGGTATTGATTTTCCGCTCATGGAAGTGCACACACACATACTAAGAACGCCTACAGAGAATGGGGGCTGGGCAGGCATTTTTTCAGGAACAGACAGCTCTGCATTCCCCAAATGCATTCAAAATACCCTCTGGCTTGGTGACTTAATATTTGAATGATCTATATAAACTCCTCACATCAGGATTAAATCGATGGCTGATGAGCAAAAACACTATTCCTCGGCTCACTCTTTGAAGGCTAAGAACTCTATCAGCTTCTTCGGAGAAAATGGTCCTCTTGGCATCCTATTCCAGGCTTACTTTATATGATACAGCTTCCTGGAGCCACATCTTCCTAACTTGACTGGAATTAATTTTATATTACTTTATCACGGTCTTCTCGCCTAATTCTTAGAGGCACGTTAACACTTCCTCTGCCATTCTGTCATTATTCCTTCATTTCTGACAGTCTCTGACTTAGACCGCTGTGGTAGTTACTCAGGCTGCTCACCGAACATTTCCAGCTCTTCGCCTCCTGGCCTCGGCTGAGAATCTACCTCCTGGTCTCTCTGTGGTTAGGTGGGGCTGTGTGACCAGTTCTGATCAAGGAGTAGAGGTAATCTGTATCGTTTCCAGGTTGAGCATTTAATTGTTTATGGGAGAGCTGCCAGAGGAAAATATTGATATATTAGACTTCACAAAAATTAAGAACTTCAATATGCCAGCGACATCATTAACAAAATTAGATGGCAAGAACCAAACTGAGAGAAAATATTTTCAAAATATATAATGAAAGGTTAGTTACCGTACACAAAGAGAGTCTACAAATCAAAATACAAGTGTGCCTCAGATATAAACAGGCATTTCACAGTAGGAGAAGTACAAGGAGCAAATAAACATATTGAAAGATACTTAATCTCAGTTGGAATTAGGGAAATGCAAATTATAGCAACAAGATGCCATTCTAATCTATGAGATAAACAAAATTCAAATTAAAAACTCAAAAAGCTTAATATATTACAAAATTGGCAAGAGTGTGGGGAAATAGGCATTCCTGCTGGTATAATAGTATTGGAGGGCAATTAGCAATATCTTTCAAAATTATAAAAATGAATATTTTGGTCCCCAAATTCTATTTCTACAAACCTAACCTACAGAAATATTTGCATGTACTATTAACAACATTCATTGAACACATACTATGTGTCAAGCCCTGTCTAACTGCTTTATCATATTAATCATTTAGAACCTGTAAGGTAAGTTCTATTCTTTTCCCATTTTACAGATGAGGAACCAGAAGCAGGAAGACTAAGTTAACACAACTGATAAGTGTCAGTGCAGGGATCCAGACACAGAGTACTCCCTTCTGTGTGACACTGCAGACACTGTGCTGTCTCTCTCAAAGAAATATGCTTCAGGATGTATATTGCACCATTATATGTAATTTTTTTTAAAAAAGATGAATAAAGGACAAATGTTCAACAACAGGAGAAATGGTTATAAGGCAAATTCAAATTATAGAATATTATGCAATAATTCCAAAGAATGAGCCCAAGAGAATTGAAAACATATAGTCACACAAAAACATGTAGAATGTTTATAGTAACATTATCCGTGATAGCGAAAAAGCAGGAACAACTCAAAAGGCAACCAACTGATGAACAGATAAACAAAACGTGGTTTATCCATACAATGGGATATTATTCAGCCATAAAAAGGAATGAAGCATTGACATATGCTACGACATGGATGAACCTTGAAAATATTATGCTAGTAAGAGAAGCCAGATGCAAATGGCCATATTCTGCATGATTCCATTGATATAAAACGTCCAGAATAGGGAACTCTAGAGAGACAGAAAATAGATTATGGTTGACAGGGGGAATTGGGACTAACTGCTAATCAATACAGGGCTTCTTTTTAGGTGATGGAAACATTCTGGAATTAAGCAGCAGTGATGGCTGCACAACATGGTGAATACACTAAAAACCATTGAACTTTATACTTTAAAATAAAGGAATTTTATATTATGTGAATTATATCCCAATTTAAAAAAATGACTGAAGTATCTTTGTACTAATACAGTAAAATGTTAAATGAAAAAATCAAACCTCGAAACAATATGAATAGTATACTGACACTTATGAAAAAGGAAACAATATATGCGTTCATAAATGCATAGGAAAAAATCAGGAAGCATACATGCTGGTTCATTAACACAGGTTTCCTCTGGAGAAAAAAAATATATTTGGGAGACAGAAGTGAAAGGCAAACACAGTTTTTACTGTACAAACTTCTATTTTAAATATTTTTATAATAAGCACATATTATTTTTATAATTTTAAAAACAATAAAAATGAAAACAAAATCATTTAAATATAACTAAGCTAGTAAACAAAAATAACCTCCAGAAATGAACAAAAGGCAGAATAATAAGACATAATGGAAAAGCCCTGCACTTATAGCCAGGAGACTTGGGTTCCTGTTCCTGGCTCAACTCTGCTTTAACGACTTGTGGGTGGTCATCAGAAAGTTCATCTAGCATCTCTGAGCTTCAGTTCCCATTTGTCACATAAGACATCTGGACTCGATGACCACCTTAAAACTTTCAGCTTTAGAATCTTTGGATTCCACAATAAGCCATCCTCCTTTTTTGCTTTGTTGCCAAGGTTACTTGCAGCTCCAGCCTTTCAGACCATGTTTTAGACAAGGCATTAAGTGCAATCATGAATTTACACGTATTCCAAGATCATAACCTTACAGGAAAAGGATCATCAACCTCACTGCCCAGCTTCTGCTTAATTATGACCCTCTTTGTTTTATATGATGGCAGTTAGTTGCGCAGACCTATGGCTGAGTCGAGTAATAAAATAATTCTTGGACAAACAAGATAATTGGCCAGACAAATCATTTTGTTGTTGTTGTTTAATGTATTGAAATCTCATTTCAGATAGCATGCAACCCTGAAATAAGTTATTTTCCTTTCATCATGTACATAACCTCTCAGTTGTCTTTTCATTAAATTTTGCTGGTTCTGGACAAAGAGAATGTTGCAAGAAAGAGAGAGAGAGGCACAGTTGCCCTGGGAAGTCACGGATGCAGGAGAGGAGGGCTCAATCAAACACTGTACATGAGTGAATAAACAAATGTATGAGAGAATGAGAAACATTTCTGTTTCCTTCTCCACCAGTGTTCCAGCTTCTCTGCCTGGTAGTCAGATTGCTGCAGTGAACAGCAGAGATTATGTGCATATCTGGAGGGCCCAGACGGGGGTCCTCCAGAAGCAGATATTCATCCTCAAAGAGCTGGACCAACTCCATCAAGCACAGTTCCGGCACAAGTAGATGCCCTCGAAGTACCAGCCATCTACCCTTTCCCTTCTTTCATGGGAAGCACTGAAGTAGAGTAGATGGAACCCAGACTTTGGAGCTTGTAAGACCAGGGTCCACGTCCTATCTCTGCCACTGACTATCTGTGTGACCTTGGACAATTGTAAGAACTGCGAGATTGTCATGAAGGCTGAACAAGATAACACATGTAAAACAGCACTCCATGGTGCCTGGCACACAATAGGTAATTAAGGAAAAATAATGCTGTTTTTCATCTCTTAATTCTTAAAGGATCCAGGCCTTAAGTTCTGCCCAAAGCAGATACATTAATAGGATGTGCTTCTGATACTCTGTTTACAGTAGCCAGGACATGGAAGCAACCTAAATGTCCACTGACAGATGACTGAATAAAGAAAGTGTGAGATACACACACACACACACACACACACATATATACATAAAATGGAATACTACTCAACCATAAAAAATGAAATAATGCCATTTGCAGCAATGTGGATGGACCTGGAAATCATCATAACTAAGTGAAGCAAACCAGGAAAAGGAAGAAAAATACCATATGATATCACTCATATGTGGAATCTTTAAAAAATGACACAAATAAACTTATTTATAAAACAGAGACAAACTCACAGACATAGAAAACAAACTTATGGTTACCAGGGAGGAAAGGAGGTGGGGAAAGATAGATTGTGAATTTGGGATTTGCAGATACAAACTACTCTATATAAAACAGATAAACAACAAGGTCCTATGGTATGGCACAGGGAACTGTATTCAATATCTTGTAATAATCTATAATGAAAAAGAATATAAAAAGGAATATATATATATATATATATATACACACACACACACACACACACACACATAACTGAATCACTATGCTGTACACCAGAAACTAACACAACGTTGTAAATCGACACTACTTCAATTAAAATAAATAAATAAATAGTCAGTATGTAAAAAGAAAAAAAAAAACCAGGATGTGTTTCTGAGAGCAAGGATATGGTCCATTTTCTTGTTGTTTTTTTTATTTAATGCTTTTAATGTCATTTTCTTGTGCTTTTTGAACATGGGTCTCCTCATTTATATTTTGCACTGGGTCCCACAAATTATTTAGCCAGCTATGAGGATGTGTCAAACTAGCTGAGTCTTCCCTTGAAGCCCCCTCCCGTGGCCTGTGGTGAGGAGGAAGGCCCGACTCCCCGCTCGGCCTGGATCAGAGAGGATCGCACCACCGCTGTCTCTGAGTCAGCCCTCCACCGGCTTCCTTTATAGGGTAGAGGTGGGTGGTGGCTGGGCCAGCAGCTCCTGCCCGGGTGCTTTATCACTTTGTCTTGGGATATGTGGATGCTTGGCCCTTATTGTTTTGTCCTTTGCATTTGGAACCTTGAAACTGGGACTATAAGGGCCTGGACTACATGGGAGCTTTGGCTCCCTGTAACCACAAGTGTGCTAGAACATTCCCAGAAATGTAGATGGACTGGCAAGGAAAGGAGGGGAGATCCCTTCAGTCTTGGCTGGCTTCCTTCCCAGCTGAGGGAACACGTCATTTCCCGGTGGTGGAGGTGGGGTTCCCTGGGCAGGGCACCCTTGTACAAAGTGGTTCTTCATTCCAGAGAGCAACCACAGCTGTGCCCTTAGCTCTCGAACATTCTCAGACAGTTCTTCACGGAGGGGCTAGCCAGGCTGTTGGAGATGACACCCAGAGTAGCGCTGCTCCAGGCGCGTCGCGGGCCGGAATCCAGAGCCCGCTGCAAAGGGCTGACAAGATGGTAACCCTGCTGGAACTTGCCACAGGCCCCACGAAGATCCTCTGTTAGATCAAACTTCATCCATAAAGCATGGCCTGCCTCAGAATTCTTCAGTTTTTACCCAGAATATCCCCCTGTTTTGTGTGATAAAGAGACCAGTCTCCACTGGAAAATGGGCAGTGAGGGTCTTGAGGATTTCCAGTTGTAGCAGGAAACCCGGGCCGCAGGCTCAGCCAGGGCCGGGCCAGTGTACAGCAAGTGGGGAGACTGGCCTTGACCCTGTGCAACAGTAACTTCTCTGTAGAGTCTACTATTCTCCTGTCAAATTCATATGTTACCTGCAGGGCATTCACTTCCTTTCTAGAGCCAAGAAGTCAAGTTGAAGGGACATTAAGTTTCTTGCATTCTGAGCCCTCCAGTGTCCAAAGGATGAGGCATCTGACCCTTGGGCTGGAACGAAGTCAGGCTGGGAATGCTGGACTTCATCACCAGGACTGATGGTCAGCCTGGCTCTTAAGAGACGGTCTTCTTGGGCTAAAGCACTTTGGGGGAAAACGGCAGTGCACTGGGC